CATTTAGATCCATGGAAGGAGGATGTTTCTGGAAGAAAAAAGTACCATTTTTCTGCACTTCCGTAACTAGAATCATTGTGGTAAAGTTCTAATTGAATGAACATGCTTCGCCGAATGCTGATCAAATCTAGTTAAGCAACTAAATTGCTCTGTAACGGAGTGGGGGGAGGCGAGGGAGGAAAGAGAGTGAGAATAACTGAAACACTGAGTTTAGTATAAAGGGTGTGAAAAAAAAAGGGTGACATTGTTTCTGCATAGAATTCACTGTTTTTTATTGTTGAAAAAGTGAAATGAAGCCATCAGGGCTTTTTTCTTAACAAAAGAAAATATTTCTGGCTTAATCTTTCGTTTTTAAAGCTATCTGAAATTAATATGCATACATTTCAGGTACGCTATGAAATGTCTGGATAAGAAAAGGATTAAGATGAAGCAAGGTGAAACACTTGCGTTAAACGAGCGCATCATGCTTAGCCTTGTTAGCACCGGAGTAAGCCAGTTTTTCTACTTTTCACCAATCTGTGCGTGATGCTCCGATAAATAAGTTTAATAAGGAATGCTGCAAACCGAGCTTAGAATTTAATTTGTTCAATTTTGCTCATTTGCAACAAATTTCGATCTTAAAACTCTGTATTTTTTTCTTTTTTCCCGACCGCTGAGGACGTTTTCAGTTTTTTGAGTTAATCAGTTCTGAGTTTGTGAGAATCTTTCCTTAGAATATTGCATCACAGTCTCTGACAAGTTATTGTTAGAATTCGTTACTGCTTGGTTTCAGAGAACATGGAACATCAATAAATTTGCATTTTAAAGTAGCAAAAAACGTCGTCGAAGTCGTAAAAATTGCATTTTTGCAATGCCAGTCTCCTAACGCGAATTTTAGTGTTTTTTTATGCCAAAATGGTGACGCGTTCGAAAATAACGCCGTGTTTTGAAGCGGCGTAATTACAGCTTGGCACCGCAATCTAAGACATTTTTTGAGCAAATTAGCCTTTTGATGTTTCTGCGGGCTTGCGAATTCCTTCCTTTTCTTGTTCCTTTTGTTCCTGAATTCAATTCAAGCTTTTCGGTTCTTAACTGAGAAGTGCAGCCAGAGGTGTACAGTTGCAGATTCTAGTGAATCTTTGAGAGACACTTAACTACTTTGCATTTTCGCATATTTTGATTATATTTTATTTTAATACACAGCACTGAAATTGTTATGAATTGTAGCTCGGGTCCCTTTTTCTCCCTCATCCCATCGTGTTTCATTTGTACTGAAAGCACTCTTTTCCTCCCGTGTTTTTCTGCTGGGCCATTCATGCTTTTCTATCCTGTGGCTTCGTCCTAATTCCGCTTGGAACATAAAGAGTACTAATGAGGCGTTCATTTTCAGCAGGATTGTCCATTTATTGTTTGTATGACTTATGCATTCCAGTCGCCTGATAAGCTGTGCTTTATCCTTGATCTGATGAACGGCGGCGACCTGCACTATCACCTCAGTCAGCACGGTGTCTTCTCCGGTCAGTCATTGCTTAGTCAGCCACTTTTCATTCGAAGTACCAATTTACCTGAAATATTTTTTTTTTTTTGACATACCGATTTTTTCCTAATTTACCCATGCATCTGTATTACTTTTAGAAAGCGAAATGATTTTTTATGCTGCCGAAGTGATACTTGGGCTAGAGCACATGCATAATCGCTCTGTGGTTTATCGGGACTTGAAGCCAGCCAACATCCTGCTTGACGAAAACGGGCATGCTCGCGTCTCGGATCTTGGGCTTGCCTGTGATTTTTCCAAGAAGAAACCGCATGCCAGCGTGTATGTACTGTTTGTCAACTCTTTGCATTTCACTACTGCTGATCATTCCTTTGCATTCATTATTTGAATACTAGCGTGAGTACCAAAGCGTGAGTACCAAAGGTGTACTCGTTCGGCTTCTGACCGAACGAATACATCTCTGGTACTCACGCTAGTATCCATACAGTATCACTACCTCATCAGTGTGCGCCAAAGCCCTATGTGTGTGTGTGTGTGTGTGTGTGTGTGTGCGTGTGTGCGTGTGTGTGTGTGTGTGTGCGTGTGTGTGTGTGTTTGTGTGCGTGTGTGTGTGTGTGTGTGTGTGTGTGTGCGTGTGTGATTTTGTCTGTATTCCGATGGATCTGCGTATGCCGGTGGACTCACTCCGCAATTACAAAAATTACAAAGATGAGGGCTTGGAAGTGTTTGAATCAGTAGCGGTGTGTATCAGGATTTCTGACACGATCATGCGTTTTTGCATGATTACATTCCGCAGAGAGATCGCCTGCACTGGAGGTATGATTGCAGTGTTTCAACTTGAACGTTTGATACAGCTATATTCACGGCACATGCCTAAGCAGAAACTCATTTTAATTTTGCTGGCCTGCACAGTAATAATAAACATCCTCAGTAAAATACTGTTTCCTGCTCAATCTGTTTACTGAGTTATCTGAGTGCCAAAACTGCCCCAAACTAAAATTGCAGTTGCGCGTACACATTTGTTTTAAAGTAGAATTTGAAATGTTTCGATCGCAAGTGGGAGCACCGTTGACGTCCTGTTAAGTCGGTAATCAGATTGAGCAAGAAGCAATGTCTTCCTGAAGGTGTTTGCTGTTAATGTGCGCCCCATAGCAGCTTATCGCAGAAATGTATGCTGATGCCATTGACAGCGCTATTTAGTATCATATTAGCCTCTTTAGAGGAACTCACGGATATATGGCTCCAGAAGTGCTTGCAAAAGGTGTTGCTTACGATTCGTCAGCAGATTGGTTTTCATTCGGCTGTATGCTTTATAAACTACTCAAAGGACATAGTCCCTTTCGGCAGCATAAGGCCAAGCCCAGCAATAAGGTAAATATCTATTCACCGCGTAAAACAGGAACAAGTGAGAAAGTCATTTTCCAAAACGCAGTGCACTGCTGATTTTTCCAATATTAATCTGAATGTGATCACACTGTTAGTTAAAGTGTCGTTGCTGCGATGTTTTCCAGGACAAGAACGAGATCGACAAAATGACAATGACTCAGGATATTGAGCTTCCC